GTGTGCGCTTGCTCGCCGAGCAGAACGCGAAACAAAATTTCCCGTTTTGCTCGGGTGTGTGCGCTAGGCTTAACCAGGCTTAAAAGGCGTGTCCATTGCAAAACATTACAAAAGCCATCGCTCGTCGCCCTCACACACCGCATTCAAGCCCGCCCACACTCACACAGCAAGTCGGTGGGCAGTCGAAATAACTTAATCCACCATTACTCTCCATCAAAGTATCTCGGCGATTACCGCTTAGACAGTATATAGAAAGCTCACTGCGCCAGTACGTGTAGCAGATCATCCAGCCTGTTCTGCTTGCATCTATGACAAATACGACATACGCATATACGCTCTCCTATGACACTATTTGTCATAGGAAGATTCTTCCTATGACAAATATTGTTGTATGTGCTGTGCGCATCATAGGAGTTTAGGAGCGCTATTATGAACGCAAGCAGTAAATTTGAGCTGTAAAGCGGAACGAAGTTGACTCGCCAATATTTGTCATAGGAAGAATCTTGCTATGACAAATAGTGTCATAGGATAGCGTATATTAAGCGCATGTCGTATTTGTTATAGATGCAAGCAGAACATGTTGCAGCATCGATGGTTAGCTATTCTATGTGTAGTTGGTTACCGGTACTCTGAGCTGACTATCGCGCCATCACTGTCTCATGTAACGCGTGAGGAGAGCGGACAGGCAAATTATCAGGGAAACAAAACAGGAATTAATAGAAAGCGAAGACGGAAGATTCCGGGATTTCCTGTATCGTTGTACGTGTCGGTAAGGTACGGATGCAGGAACGTAACACGGGAGAACAGTACCACACCCAGGGCGTCGTGCTAGTCAACAGCCACTGTCCTGAGGATAAGGTGCGGCCCCTTTTATATAGTAGGGCTGGCCTTACCCAACGGCCAGGATAACCGTTAGAATAGTGAGGTCCAGCCTCATGTTACTGTGTGTCAGGGACCGGACCCTGTCGCCGTTCGTTACTGTGCAAATGTTCCTTTTACGACAACCGCACGTGTGCAAAGTATGCTCTCCCCACGCGCACCCCTACAATTCTTATGAGCCGTGTACTACACGCGTGTATTACCAGGAAACATATTTCCTTTGCAAAGCCGACGAATTCAAAGTTGTTCGCCCACGTGTAACGTGCATGCTACTCTGATACACGAACACATCGTAGCGCGCAACTCTTGAATTGCATTTCCTGAAAAAGCGTTGAAAATATTTAAAAAAGATAAATGTACACAATGGATTCGGTTCTATTGAGATTTCGCAGCAGCGTGCATGACCGAGTCCGTGAATGGCTTCCGATTCGATGATCCTGCTTCTTGAATGAGTGAGTAGTCACGACTCCCCAGTCACACGACCCTGTCTCACCCCTCCCCCTCTCACGACCCTGTCACGCGACCCCCTCACACCATCCTGTCACACGACCCTGTCACACGCTCCCTGACACGCCCATAACA